AACAGGTTTTGAGGTACTGTGTAATATGCCAAAGGGAAAATTTTTGCAAAGAAAAGGGGTGGAATGCCACAAAGCCCTTTTAAAGCTAAAAAGGACCCTTATGGCCCAAGGGTTTCACAGAAAGTTTTCCCCGGGGGGGAAAAAATTTAAATTATGCACACAACATCCAACAAAAATAACGGAGTTCCACTGTGAAAAATAAAACATTTTTTGTGCAGTCAGTTTCTTTTTTAAAAGAGAGTCATAAGTATTTTCAAAATACTTGGAAAAAGAAAATGGGTGGGAAAGGGATTTTTGCCAAAAGAAAAAAAATAGAAAAAACACATTCAACTCGTTTTAATCCGCTCCCCCCAAAATTTCTGTAAATGAAATAAACAGGGGGAAAAAATGTACAAGGGGAAAGCCTAAACGGTTTTAGATGCGAAATTTTAAATAATTGATCCAAGATGCTGAAAGCCCTTTTATCGTCAAAAAAAGATCCATAAAATGAAGGGGATTCTAGTGAAAATTTTACAAAAAAGACGTGATTCCGGAAAAAGGGAAATAAAAGAATTTAAAACAATTTTGGAAAAGGGTAACCCCAGAACGTATCTTTTTTAAAAAACTGCACTTGACGACGGGGAAAAATGCATCCTATTTAACGCGCTGTCCTAACGAATAAAAATTTTGGGGCATTTTTTGCCAGAAATGGGAATGGACCAAAAGGGGGATTTTTTAAAATTTTAAAATTTTTTTTTGAAAAATTGATGTTGTTTAAAAAATTTTTGGTAACGAAAACCCCCTTTTATCAAATGCGGGTAGAAAAAGTTTCCTGGCACTTCCCGGGGTCCCATTAATTACTTTAAAAAATCTTTTAAAAAAACACCTCTTTTAATAACCCAAAAGATGTGGTTTTTCGGGAAACACGAAAAACAAAAGGGAAAATTTGAAAAAAACCCAAAAACCCCTAAAATTTGCAGAGAAAAAAGAAACAAAATTAATTATGCTTTGGGAAAAGTTTCCCGGAAAGATGCAGATGCTTTTACCTCAGGTTTTCGACTAAAAACTTCAAACAAGAAATTCATTTAAATCATTATGTTTTTGAATTTTCTTACTCTGATAGGTTTTAAATTGGGAAAACCCCCCGGTGACAAGCAAAAACCCTTTTAAACACTGGATAAATGTGCCCCTTAAAGAAAGAAAGGTTTGTTTTAAACTGAAATTCCCAAAAGTGCAGATTTAAAACATGGTAAAAAAAATTCATTTGCCAGACAAACGTATCGAATTAAAACCCCGGGGAAATTAAAAATTTCAAAAAAAATACTTTTGGTTTTGCTAATTTCAAAAAAAACAAATTGCCCCCATGAAAAAAAAAAATAAATGGGAAAAGAATTGAAAAGGGACAATATTTATCTACAAAAAATTTTTTCCAAAAATTTTGCAAGGGGGTTGATGGAAAAAAGTTTCTTGTTTCATAAAAATTGGGAAAAGGGCGGTGGTGCATTGAAGTTAAAAAAATTAAATGGACAGAACTTTGGGGGCCGAGGAAAAAAAAACATTATGGATATTGAGGGTTTTTAGAAAGCAGTAAAAGCAAATTTTTGCTTTAAAAAAAGTTTTCTATACCAGGTCTGAAGAATCCAAAAATGAAAAAGTTTGTCCGAAATGGAAAAAAAAAATGGGTTTGTGGGGAATTTTGAAGAAAAAACATCTTTTAGTAACGGGTCTTCTTGGGTTTGTCTAGTTTTTAAGATTTTTCCCGGTGGAAAAACAAGTTTTCTCTCAAAGGAAAGGAAAAATTTTGTAACAAGTATCTATCCACGGGCAATGCGTCGTGTGAAATTTTTCAAACTTTTTAATAAAACAATTTGGAAAAAAACCCATTTTTAAAAAACCAAACCTTTTTAAGGATACAACAATTCCCGTTATTTTTGTAAAAAGACTCAAATTTTTGGGAAAAAAAAGTTTTTTTTAAAAAACGAAGTAATATTTTTCCTTAAACGTTAGCCTTTTTAAAAATTTTTTGGAAAATTTTTCAACAAAAAAAAGGTTTAAAAAAACAAAATATAAAAATTTTTAAAATCGTAAAAAAAGTTTTTTGAATTATTTAAACCTTTCCCTCCAAAAAAGACCCTTTTTTAATCTTTTTTGGATAACGTTGGAAAATTTTAAAATTTTCGTTTTTAAGAAACTAACCCAAAAAAAAAACTTGAAAAAAACCCCTTTAAAAAAGAAAGGGTTCCGCCTCCTTTTTTGGGCGGGAAGTTTTTAAAATGTTTAATGGTTAAACGAGTTTTTTAAAAATTAATTTTGGGAATTTAAAAGGAAAAAAAAATCAAAATTGGTTAAAAAATTTATGTATGAAAAAAATTTAATTTTTTTTTTTTTTTTCCAAATTTTTTTAAGGCTAAAAACCGGGGAAAAAAACCGTTTAAAAATAAAAAATTTGATTTACAAAAATTTTAAATTCGTTTTCGTTTTTGTAACCATGGGAAAATTTTTGGCTTTATATTTAAAATTTTTAAAATTTAATGATAAAAAAATTTAAAAATTTCATTACTTTAAAAAATTTAAAATTTTTATAAAAATAAAACCCTTTTGTTTTTTTTAAAATTTTACAAACATTTTAAAAATTTAAAAATTTTTTTTTGGGAAAAAAAGGGGGGAGGGAAATTTTAGCCCCCTTTTTTAATTTATTTTTTTATTTTAAAAGGGAAAAAGTTTTAAAAAAACTGAAAATGTTTTTAAAAAAAAAGAAATTAATGTTTAAAACAAAAGCATGGTTTTATTCTTAAAAAAGAAGTTTTTCCTTTTTACTGAGGAAAAACCTTGAAAAAAAAAATAATTTTTTTTTTTTAAAAAAATTCTGATTGATTAGAAAAGATTGATGAGACATTCAACCTTTCATTTAACAAACAACGGAGAACAAACTACAACAACATATATTTGAGGACGTACCATATTTATTAACATGTCATTCCCTGAGTCAGTTTTGAAATACAAATAATGGAAAGAAATATTGCACCTGTGTTTGAGGAAAATAAAAAAGAAAACACAATAATACCCAATTTACTCTTAAAAAACAACAACAACAAATAAAAGCAAATTCAGACTGTCGACTAGTTTTTATGTTTTTTTACTTCGTTATTTTTCTTTTTTTTCTTAAGACTAGCATTGAATGATGACGACACAATGAAAAAAAATATACTGAATGTTCTTGGTATGATTGATTTTAGGTGAGATAAATGAAAAATTATTTAGCGAATGTTTGTTTAAATAAATATATTTTAAACCAATCATTCAAATCTCATGCATCCGTAGAATGACATTTCTCCTTTCACGACGAAGTATTTAATAAGTTTTACAATCCTGATTTTGCAGAAATGCACGGATTTCATCCTTGTACAGTAATGATTTCATGTATCCTGAACTACATGGGTGCATCGCAATCTCTTTAAATCTGCGCCTTATTAACGATACGCATTAGGATCTGACGGGCACCAATAGGACGTCACCTTCTTGTGACCTTTCAAACAGCCATTCATCGGCGAGTTTTTTACAATTTTGAAAGCGATGAGGTGTCAAATTTTAACCTCTGGAAAACCAATAATGAGTGTGTTAATGTTCACGACAAACATGGCGTTGTCCATATAGACGGCAAATAAACTGGCAAAAACAATCTTGCCTGTTAAAAATTGAGTCTATTATTTTTTGTTTACTTCTTTCAAATTACTTCTTTAACAAAAAATCAACAATTTGTTATACTTCCACGTACAGCGATATGTTGATACGTCGTCTAATGCCTATCTGTAAAGGACGGTTTGATTGCATCGCTATAAATAGCTTTCTCAGGAAATCCGAATCACCATGAAAGTTGGCAATCAGATCTATATGCACGATATAATTGAAGTGGATCTGAACTTTAGATGAATTGAAGTACACCGTTAAGTCATATTTTGAGACTACGTTTACATTCAATGGAATTACCCTGATTTAGACACATTATTAATTGAATTGATGCAGCTTGGATACAAAGGGTTAGATACTGGGAATCCAACTGATAAAGTAGGATTAACGCAGAAAGATAGAGAATCCTTTTAAGTTCAGAAAGATTGGTAGCTGCCATCGCAAACGTCATGTGCTGGAATTTCTTCAAACTGAAATTCTTGAATACTCGTTTCTATTTGACTAGTTGTGGGATTACATGCCAGGAAAACATCTAAAAAGAACAACAACAAAAACAGTATTATAAGCCACAACAATTCATACTTTAAAATATGTCTCTGTAATTTGGAAAAGAATGCAAATATTCCAATTCAAGTTCTTAAGAAAATGTAACTGTTTGGCATTTGTTAACAATGTTATATACGTAAAAAGTTAGTTTCCGAGTGGGTTACTAATTTATATAAGAATACTTTTGTATTGCAATATCTAAACATTATTTGCATTTAACATTTTAAATCATCTCACCCTTGTGCTTGAAAAAGTATCTTGCTACCTATCCGTGACTACATCAAAGCCAAATGGAGGTTTTTCCTGGAATTTAAAACAAAGCAACAATGAATGAACCCCTTACTCTACCCATTTTTAGTCGAAATCAAAAAAATTTGTAAGAAAATGATTCTGGGCGTGCTCTTTGATGATTTCCATATAAACATGTCCCAAATTGTTAAAAAAACAACCCTTTAAAAATAATTGGACGTATTCTTTATATATTCCAATGTAACACATTTACCAAGGTGCCGTAGGAACAAATTTATGTTGAAATCTTTCAAAAGGGCTTTATGAAGAATGTTGAGTAACGCGAGATCCGTTTAGAACAATATAAACATACTTGTGAAGTAAAAATCAGATTTATTGTTCATGAGTTTATTCACAAGACAGTACAAAAACTTGTATAAACCCTTGCACCGAGTAAAGCAGTGTTTGATATTTGATACTCAAAAGATTGTTAATAATAATGACACTAACAAATCGGGTAAAAAGGTTACTGGTATATTTATAAGTTTTCACTCAAGACTAGACACCCTAGCTAGCACTTATAACTTGAAACCTGCTGAATTTAAAGATTCTAAAATACTTACGTCTAATATAACATTATTTAAATCATCTATTGCAATGTAGCGTTCCTTTTCGTTTTTGCAAAGTGTGGCTTTGAATTTAACGCTTCCACAACGGTCCATGCCACTTTGCATTATTTTACAAATTATTTCTGTAACATAAAAGTCAAGTTATAAGTAAAATAGAAACAGAAGTTTCAAGGGGCAAGCTTCAGTTAAAAAAATTAAAAGCAACAATATTTTGTTTGTGACTATATATCAATGAAAAACTTACTTGTTCTGGCATCGCCTGCCTTTGTCATAACACTTGCAGTGACAGAGCTATTACGTATATCGAGGTAAAGTTGTGTCCCCGGAACTTTATAAAAGTTTTAAGACTTGTTTTTCTGGTCAACACCTGAAATTTTACAGCAGTCATAAAAATGTAATTTTGGCTTTGTTTTATAAATAAAGGTTAGACATGTAGTCTTGTGTCATGGAGTCTTGTGTAAAACAATGACAGGTAGGAGTGAGATATTTTGATCTTTTTATTGTTTCCTATGTACATACACGACAAACCAGATCTGCAGTTATTACCTTTTGATAATTATTTTCCTGCCTCTTTTCTAGAATTTAAATAAAAAAGCAGTCAATTTGTTCTCTCAAACAAAAATAATGACAACATTTATTATAGCTTTAATTTATTTCACGTTAAACTTAAATCATGTCTTGAATTCTGTGCATGGTAATACGGAAAACGTTATATAAGAATGCTGTAGAATTATTTACCTGTGTAAGAAACATGCTTCTGTGGGTTGTCAGCGGACAGACCTGCACTGGTGTCAAACCATTTCCATTTTTTCTTGGAACCAAACTTTGTAACCCTGCGTAAAACCTAACAAGTGACAACAAAGAAAGTATTTTAATTCGAGTTAGTTTTTTTATTTGTTTGGTTTTCTTTAATTTTATGTAATGAAGTCTGCAGAAAATGTATGCATTATAGACAAACACCTTTGACGATAGAAAATGCATTTTTCAAAACTAAGTGTGTGTGATACACTAATGCAGCAAGGCCTTGAGTAGATGCTCGCAAGCGGGAAAGCAGTAAAAAATTAATTCTAATTTGAAAAACTACCGTGGAATGAAAAGTTTGAATGTAATATGCAAAATTAATTGTTACCAGATTTAACCTAGTTCCATCGACCTTGACCTTTTCAAACAATCTCAATACCTCTGTATGGTTGCGATCAGGCAGAAAGGTAGAATCAATCCATGCAACTTCATCATTGTTGCTACAACCAAATGGAATAACTAGAAGTTGATTAGTTGTGAAGTTGCATCCATGTCAGATTAATTTCAATAAACTTTGATTTACACTGAATGTATGATACACAAGTAAGAAAGCATTATAAAAGTTTCATGTACGTAAAAGTTTGTAATGAATAACATCAAATATCGTTGATGTCTTGTCTTATTGAAATCACAATTTGTTATAATTAAAACGTTTTTATAAGACTTGATGAATCAGCCGGGCTGATGAGAATCATATTTTATAGAATTTGATATCATATTTTATAAAAAACAAGAGCCACCGCCGGGCGGGGGCAACGCTCGACTTTTTACTTTTTCTAAACGCAAACATAGAAACATATATTGACGTTTCCTTTTTATAAATTTAGTTGGTCTGTCTTGTCACATTAGTTTTGTTATGCAATTTCTTAAAATAGCAACATGACGCAATTTCTAAAAATCGAAAAAATGTCGCAATTTCTAAAAATAAAAAGAAATGAAATAATTTCTAAAAATAAAAAAATGAAGCAATTTCTAAAAATAGCAACAATGATGCAATTTCTAAAAATAGAAAAATTGATGCAATTTCTAAAAACAACAACAATGACGCAATTTCTAAAAATAGCAACAATGACGCAATTTCTAAAAATAGAAAAAAATGACGCAATTTCTAAAAATAGAAAAAATGACGCAATTTCTAAAAATAGCAACAATGACGCAATTTCTTAAAATAGAAACAATGACGCAATTTCTAAAAATAGGAAAAATGACGCAATTTCTAAAAATAGAAAAAATGACGCAATTTCTAAAATAGAAAAAAAATGACGCAATTTCTAAAAAATAAAAAAATGACGCAATTTCTAACAAGAGGGCCATGATGGCCCTGAGGTCGCTCACCTGTATATAGGCCCCACCAACCCCCCCCCCCCAAACGTTGCAGGGCCAATTTAACCCAAGGGCTTTTATTTGCACAAACTTGGTAGACACCCATAAGAAGATGTTTCATGCTAAACATCTAAGCTCTAGCTCATTGGGCTTTTTAAAAGAAGATTTTCTTTAAGTTTTTACTATACACATATAGTTAAAAACAATGACACCCCTGGGGCTGGGCCAGTTTTGACCCCAGGGCTTTTATTTGAACAAACTTTGTAGACACTTACTAGAAGATGTTTCATGCTTAATATCTAAACTCTAGCTATTTGGGTTTTTCCAAAGATTTTAAGTTTTTGCTATACACATATAAAGAAAATCAATGACCCCCGGGGCGGGGCCAATTTTGACCCCTGGTCTTTTACTTGAACAAACTTGGTAGACACCTATTAGAACATGTTTCATGCTAAATATCTTAGCCATAGCTCTTTGAGTTCTTTAAAAGAAGATTTTTTAAGTTTTTACTATATGCATATAGGGAAAATCAATGACCCCCCAGGGCGGGGCCAATTTTGACCCCAGGGCTTTTATTTGGACAAACTTGGTAGACACTTATTAGAACATGTTTCATGCTAAATATCTTAGCTCTAACTCTTTTGGTTCTTTAAAAGAAGATTTTTTAAGTTTTTACTATATGCACATAGGGAAAATCAATGACCCCTGGGGCGGGGCCAATTTTGACCCCAGGGCTTTTATTTGAACAAACTTGGAGGACACTCACTAGAACATGTTTCATGCTCAATATCTTAGCCATAGCTCTTTGAGTTCTTTAAAAGAAGATTTTTTAAGTTTTTACTATATGCATATAGGAAAATCAATGACCCCCCGGGGCGGGGCCAATTTTGACCCCAGGGCTTTTATTTGAACAAACTTGGTAGACACCCATTAGAACATGTTTCATGCTAAATATCTTAGCTCTAGCTCTTTCGGTTCTTTAAAAGAAGATTTTTTAAGTTTTTACTATATGCATATAGGAAAATAAATGACCCCCCGGGGCTGGGCCAATTTTGACCCCAGGGCTTTTATTTGAACAAACTTGGTAGACACTCACTAGAAGATGTTTCATGCCAAATATCTAAGCTCTAGCTCTTATGTTTTTTTAAAAGAAGATATTTAAAGTTTTTTCTTTCGGTTGCCATGGCAACCAGAGTTCTGCATGGAATTAAATTCTTTGAACAAGTTTTAAAGGTGACCACCAAAGGAACATTCCTGTGAAGTTTGGATGAAATTGGCTTAGTGGTTTATGAGGAGATGTCATTTAAAGTAAAAGTTTACGGACGGACGGACGACGGACGGACGACGGACGGACGACGGACGAAAAGCGATCACAAAAGCTCACCCTGTCACTTTGTGACAGGTGAGCTAAAAATAGCAAAAAAATGACGCAATTTATAAAAAATAGAAAAAAAAATGACGCAATTTCTAAAAATAGAAAAAAAATGACGCAATTTCTAAAAAATAAAAAAAATGACGTAATTTCTAAAAATAGCAAAAAAAATGACGCAATTTATAAAAATAGAAAAAAAATGACACAATTTCTAAAAATAGAAAAAAAATGATGCAATTTCTAAACAAAAAAACAATGACGCAATTTCTAAAAATAGAAAAAAGACGCAATTTCTAAAAATAGAAACAATGACGCAATTTCTAAAAATAGAAAAAAAATGATGCAATTTCTAAAATTAGAAAAAAATGACGCAATTTCTAAAAATAGCAACAATGACGCAATTTCTAAAAATAGAAAAACATGACGCAATTTCTAAAAATAGAAAAAATGACGCAATTTCTTAAAATAGAAACAATGACGCAATTTCTAAAAAATAGAACAAAAATGACGCAATTTCTAAAAATAGAAAAAATGACGCAATTTATATACATGCATATACTATACATACACACACACCAATAAATGCACAATCTGAGAAAATTAGTAATATAACCTTCAAGGTCAAGGTCATTAAAGAGCCCAAGCAAATTTGGGTTTGATAAACAACAAGGTCTGGTCCTTAAGAATGTTCTGATATAATATGAAGTTTATCCCTTCCAAAATAGCAAAGTTTCAGTCAGTTACTGCCAAAACAATGAAAATTTCAATAATTTGACCTTCAAAGGCAATGTCAATAATGAGTGAAGGTCAAGGTCTTTCGGAATATTTTTAACAGTTATTTTTGAAGATTATTATGTTCAAGTTTGAAGACAATCCATTCAAAAATAACAAAGTTACAGCCAATAATAACCAAAAAAATGAAAATTTCAATAATTTGACCTTCAAAGTCAAGGTCATTGATGAGTGAATGTCAAGGTCTGACTGATTATTTTTAAGGGATATACTTGAAGATTATTATGTTCAAGTTTGAAGACAATCCATTCAAAAATAACAAAGTAACAGCCAATAACAGCATGAACAAGCAAAACTTTGACTTTTAACCTTGAAGGTCAAGGTCATTTATGGATGAAGGTCAAGGTTAGTGTGGTCTACTGAAAGGTCTTGTCCCAAGGGTTGTTGTGGCCAAGTATGAAGACAATACACCAAGAAATAAAAAAGTTATGATCCAGGTACAAGTTTTCGGACGGCAACGGCAACGGCAACGGGTACGGCAACGGCAACGGCAACGCCGACCTGACTATAACAATACCTCTACTTTTTTTTCAAAAAAAAAAAGTCGAGCTAATGATATCATATTTTATAAAATTAAATGTACAATGAAATTATTCATTGTTTTAAAGTGACATTATACTCATTTTTTTCATTGTCAAATTGACTTTAATTAACTATATATTTCAATAAACTGGTTGTTATAATGGTGATTGACCAACACATGATATTTGAAAATGTTCAGGTTAAAAACTAAATCTGCCTAAATATATAAAAAAGACTGCCCCACTCTTTTTATAAATTGAAAGTTACAGATACTTTCCGACGGATAAATACACATTTCACAGGGCCAGGTGAGTTATTTATCATTCATGTGAAGTAAATTATAAAATTGAAAGGAATTATGAGAAAATATTAACCTATTTTGACTTTCACCTGTTCACTCTATATCTAACGGTGGATGGGCATAATGTCACTTTAAGAGAACATAAATGATCCCCATCCCCCAGCTTCTTCGCTGACTAAAATTTAAGCGCATGATTTGCAATCGCTTCTAACAAGTCATTTAAAACATCGTATAGCAATTACCACTCTACAACACCAATAACAACAGCAATATCAATTGTTCGATGAATAAATGTAAACTCTCTAGAGAACCGACCTTCAGCAACAATCAAAATCTGTGTCCTTCAAGACTGTGCTTCTTTGCAGCGGTTTTACTGTACTCGTTATTTATTGTCCCAAGTGAATAATTATTAACTTTAAACATTTATTATTCTTTAAAAAAAGGGAAAAACAATCATCTGACCATATACTCAGCCTAGAAGCTAGTCCATCTTTTCTAATATTGACAAGAAAGTGCCGATATGTGAAGGTCTTGCTCCCTTTCTGTGGTTTCCTTACGACGGTCAATAATTCTGCTCCAATGTCATAACTTAAAGTCTTCCCCGCACATTTATATTGGATATGTATTTGTGTCTTTGGATTCGACTAAAATAAAGATAAAACGATTATTTCTTTCTTCTTTAAAGTATTATAACATAATAATTATAGACTTATTTGTCGGATAGACAAAAATAGAGAATATATAGATTTTATTTATTATTCGTGACCTTTGTACGGGCTCACTTTTAGAGGAAATTGACGCTTCCGGCCCGGCGGCATTTGGCTTCAAACTTACGATAAATCTCTTGAGTTTGTTCAAAGTTATTGATCCCTGTGAGAAAACTGGTCACTGTTTCAGCAAGCAGGCATTTATATAACATATCAAAAATAAGCTTTATTAAGAGGAAATAATGTACAAAATTAAGGATACGATATTACACGCGTATTTTACCCACTTCCTATACCTTTTTGTAATAGATACAAGGAATTTTGTGTTTTTCTTAACGCCAACACATTTTCCATGTTGTATAGATTTTCTGTCAAAAACGTGTGCTGCACGTGAAAACACTTGTTTTAAGTGGCCATGATCTAGGCTGCAATTCACCTTATATTTCCTTATCTAAAGACTTAAATATACGCATTTAAAATCGGAATACTTAGATCATTTTATGTAAGTGTACTTCTTATGTGCTTCATATTTCGGTTTTCTACGTTTCTGAAATATTTGGGCATCCCAAAAAAAATATTTTCTCATACTTAAACCATCAGGGGTAAAAACACGTTTTTTTTAATAAAGTATTACAAAGAAGTTACATTTTACGTGGGCTTCAAAAAAAGGTAATTTATAGACAAATCTTGGCTATTTCACTTTTTTTTCTTTTTTTCTTGTCAAATATACGAATATATTTTGTATTTCTTTATGTTAACAATAACATTGAAGAAATCAAATTTAAATAAAAAAAAACATACTAATGTATCCCGTTATTGAAATGATTTTTTAATCCCTTTACAAAACCGATTTCAATATCTTAACGCGGAACTTTAAAACATCGTCGGTTACTGAATATCAGACATTTTGTTTTACTCATGCGGGAAATTTTAACTGTCATGCAGGGTACCAGATGAGTCGCGTGCTGTACAATGGCATGCTTATAATGACGTAATTTCGCGTGTAATTTCATACGCTATTGTAAGAAAATAGTTACGGGTGTAGTGACATAAATTTAATCGTTAACTGTTTTATTAAGGTAACGAATTTGAAATATGGTGGAACATGGTAGAATATGCAAGAAAAAAGATATTTTATGATATTTTTCGGTTCGGATCGGAATATCCGTCCCTCGGGACGGCGAGGGACGGATATTCCTATCTGACAGACATTATTAGTGCGTACATACTAGATCATCGGTTACCACGGTATTATATTCCGTATATACCAGATAATGGGTATGTACAGATTATATACCAACCGACGATGTAAATCTATATGACTTGAAAGATTTATTGTGAACTCTAATAATTAATTAAGAAACTATTAAAGATTGATTCAATCAATGCTCGTATACCAATACTTTTCTTTTAGAATTGAAGGACTGCCTACGAAATAAGCGTGGAGTTGAATTGGATATTTCAAACATGAAAAGAATACTGTTTCTCGTATTTTGTAATAGATGCAGTCGTGAATTTCGTAACGTTATAAGCAAGAGAAAATTGTCACAATTAGTTAGATATAAATGTGTTTTTGATATACGTAACAGAAAAATTAGAAAGTCTAAAATATAAAGCTTGGCTAGATAGAGATTTAGAAAGTTTGTAGCGAAATATTATTTTTTAAAAATCCCTTGATGATGAGTAATGTTTTGATATCAGACTGTTGATATCGAACATAAAGATTTTTAAAATAAATGAAAACTAAAATGTGAACATACATATAGGCTTTTATACATACACTGCTTTTTTCATCTAACTATATATATGTCGTACATGCTAATATATTAAAACGTGATAAATGTTCCTTGTGCAGTGTTGAAATAGATAACATGATAATATTTCAAAAATAACAAACTCCATATTTTCGAAGCATTGAAAGCACTACCGAAAATGTTGAAAATATAGAGTTTGAAATTTCTTAAATATCATGCTAATATATGTTTTAATCAATTATAGATATATAAGTACAAGAGTCTATAGAAAGTTATCAATCTCGTTTCATCATCTTATATAATTAATTTTAATAGCCTGAACTTATGATAATTTGAATGTTCGTCCTTGTTATTTATATGATCTAAATATAGCTGCAATCTCATTGGTCAACAGAATGTTTATATATAGAATCATATTCATGGGGTGTACATGTAGTATCATATTCACTGGCTGACTTGGATATTCCCACTCTAAAAATAGATTGAGAACATATATTGCATACTGTTAATTACGCGTGTTTATTAAAAAAAAGATACGTGTTGCGTTTTGTTCTTTATGGCATATTTCTCGACTTTACTATTATAGTTAAAAGGTACAACGCAATGATGAGTATAAATTTGAATTACTTTTGTATGAGTAACGTTCGCGCCTTATCTCCGCGTTTCAACGAAACAGGCAAAAGTTGTACATGTATAAGGTTGTACTTTCTTTCATATTATATGTATATTTTATTGTATATGTGACTGATGCCTCTAAGAGGCCTAGCATTTTCAATAAACTGTTCAAACTGATTTTTTTTAATCTTATAACCTTTTCATATAATAAAACAATTATTGACTAGTGTGCTATTGCATATATGATGTGATTTTCACCGGCAGGAGATCATATTGGCCTCGGCTATCGCCTCGGTCAATATGATGTGAGATTCACATCATATTCAAAGGCATACTAGTCAATAATTGTATAATACTTCATACAATTTTGTTTTCTATAAACACTTTTCAAGTGGAATATTGGATTTATCACCGACCCTATTATACATATGACGGGGACAATAAACGGAGTTACCTCTTGGGGCAGAAATGTCACTTCATGTGTCCTTCCGCAGCCAATCATGATAATTACATCTTTTTTTTCACAAATATAATATTTAACAGATTTATGAACAATTATATCAAATAGTATTGGTGAGTCAACGTCTATCTCTACTCTTACCACGCAAAATATTTTAAATGCACATGCCGTTTTCCCAAACGGGGGACGAAACCATTCATCACTTAAAAAAATTTCGAAAAAAATCCATACGTACACGTATGTATATGCTGACTAAATAGCAAGCAAAGTTAACTTTAATAAATAACAAGATATTTTGTCCAGATGCATAGACATGGTTACATGATACAATGCAATTCATGTTGGATTAACATAATACATATTTCTTTTAATTTTAAATGTACATTTCATGTGGACTTTTCTTGCGACATTTTAAACAAATCCAATTTTAAATATATACAGATCTATGAAACAGTAACATCTTTTATTCGTAAAATTGAAAATATAATATTGTTACCCTTAATATTCCTATATGATGCAAGACAGACGATTTCCATGGTTTTCCATTAGGTGAAATCCTGTCATAGGAATCCGGTGTTCCCTTTGGCGCTGTTGTCAGTAGATTAACTCGTTGTTCCATCAGATATATATATGTCATTTTTTATATCTGTAGAAAAGGTCTAATTGTATTAATTTTATACAGCAACTTATATTTTGATCGAATGAACCAAAGATTATTCTGTTCATTGTGAATCAAGTTGTAACGTCCAATGTGGAATGCTTCAGTTTAATAATACTTTTTATAACATTTTTTGGTGAATTTACTTGTTTTGTTTTAAATATCAAATCGTCTGCCTTGATTGAAAATACTGATGATTTCTAAATTAAATGTTTAATTTTTATTTAATTCTAAATATGTTAAACAGAATGAAAATGGTACTCATTTATGATTAATTTACTAAGATAAGTATAGTAGGTAGTACACTGTATTAGCGGCGAGACAGGGGTAGAGCAAAGCGTTTAAATACTTCTTTACTGTTTTATTTCTCCTTTTTTTAAAAACGAAGAAAGCATATCAGACTTCAACAAAAATAGAGGTATAAAGTGTATTGATTCTAATCTCTATCAAAAATTGAGTTTTTATTGTACTTGAAACATTGACAAAATATTAACCTTAAATTTTATATATTGATCCTATTCACAGTGTAAGTTAACCAGTCAGTATTCATCATACATACCGTAACACTGAAAAGTCTCAGTCGAGAATGAAAATCGTTAAACTACAGATAGAATATATGTTAATCACAATATGGAAGTTATTTTTAAATAGAAAAGTAAAACCAGGACCAGTTACTCATCGACTGAAACCAGAAACAGGAAGATAAAAAACGCGTATCAGATTTTATTTATGCACTTACTATTATATACGGAAGCCCATAAGTGCCATTTTGTCTTAGGACTTTTGTCTTATGACTAATGACTTATGTATTATGACTTTTGTCTTATGTATTATGACTTGACAAAAAGGCGGCAAAAAGGCAAGTTTCATCACATGCGCCCATTATAGGATTACAACCAATTATTATTTTCATTGACTCGTTTTGACTCATTTTGTAAAAATATAATTTTAAGAGAAGAATTTACGTGGTTACACCGGTTTAATTTCTATAAATAAAACTTTATTATATTTCGTTTATTCATCATTTTACAACTTAACAAATCTTATAAGTGTGCATTTAAAATATCTTGAAGTGTGAGTCAATATTGCCATATCATGCTGGAATTTTCAATTACTAAAGGTGAATGACATGGTATGAAATTTCATTTATTTGATTTCATAACAAACACAAATTTAACACAGATGCCATATAAAAGTGATTGTGCGTAATAAGTAAATGTCGCAAAATTATAACATCTAAATCAACGTATGCCTCCGTTTAATAACAACGCGGCAGTTTAATCTCATCGCCGATCATGACCAATACGATGAGCTACGGTTTTATTAATGCCTAAAGAACAGCATATGACTGCAGTTTTTTCTGATGTCTAACAAGCACACGCCTGAAGTGCCAACAATCTTTCTTAACATATTTATAAATAACATCAACGTTATCTCACTTAAATGTAGTAGTAGCTATACGGAAATGTGATAGAAGCTATACGGAGTGAAATGAACCGCCACATAAGAAGTTTTGGTACAGTGCAACAAATCATCTCCTACGAATATGCGAACAGTGTCTCTTAATTGCATTTATTGAAAATTTCAGCATCAAAATTGAAACACATATGAGACCATTGATACATACACACTTAAAAGATTTGTAAAGTGTACAGTTCATATTTGAAGGAATAATAATATCTGACATAGGTTGCGGTTCGGATCGGAATATCCGTACCGGAGCTTGGGTATGGGCGGATTCATGAGCATATTACACCCGTCACTTTTTTCTGACTCATAACGGTAAAATTGCGTCATTCTAAGCATCTGTGTGCTGAGTTATATGCAAGAAAAATAACATGTCATATGTTGCGGTTCGGATAGGAATATCCGTCCTGAGGGGACCCGCCGATTAGGCGGTAACGAGATGAAACAAAGTGATGATTATTTCATTTGAATACACTAACCATGGGCGGATTCCCGAGGGACAGATATTCCAATCCGAACTGCAAACATATGTCAGATTTTTTTCTTGCATTTTCTACCATATTCCAGTATATATTAGACACGTTACCTGAATAAAAAGATTTTCCATAGAAATTTATGTCATTTCACCCGTTACTATTTACATGTACTTACAACTGCGTATGAAATTACATCTTTATTCTTAACGGTAAAATTACATCATCCTAAGTGTGCCATTGTACAGCACGCGATTCATCTGGCACCCCCCCCCCCCCATAACAGATGAAATTTCCGGCATGGGTAAAACTAACGATTACACCAGTCTGATATGCAAGAATGAAGGTTATTTCTTTCAGAATAAGGAGATTATGGCAATCTGATTAATGTTAATTAACGCTAATCATCAGGATCTGACGACAACCATTATATGTTGTCAACTTGTCACTTTCTCTTGACCTTTCAAACAGTTAATATCGGCGTGCTTTCACAATTTTGAAAGCGATGTCGTTTTTAATTTTAACCTCTGTAAAACCATCACTGAGTGAGTAAGTTTCACGATTTCGAGAACAAACATGGCGTTGTCCATATAGCCGGCAGGTACACTGCCAAAACAATCCTGTCCATTGAAAATAGAGTATTTCCAGTTAATTTTTTTTAAATTACTTCAGAGTGTTTTTTTTTTCTAAGAAAACACAAACAATCTGTTCTACTTCCACGGACTACGAGATTTTGACACTTTGTCTCATGCCTGTCTATAAAGACAGGTTTGTCAGCATGGCTAAACATAGCTTTTTCGGAAAATCTGAATCACAGTAAAGGCTGGCAATCAGATCAAAGTGCAAGAAATAAATTAAGTAAATCTGAAGTCAGTTTGGAATGTTAAGATTGACAGGTAAGACAAAAACATCACATAGGTGTAGGTCGGTCTGTATTCGGTATTGTAATTCAAACTGGAATTTAGCTAGGATACTAGAAAATCGAAAGTTTTACGGGTGATTTTTTTGAAATCAAAGTTAGCTCTAACGTCAAAACTAATATAAAATCGAATTTTCTCCTATTTAATGAAAAATATTTTTCACTTTCATACGTACTTTTATCTTGCTATTAATTTCAATAGAAAACCGCACTAGCCAAGTTTGAATTATCTTGTGTTATCAGCAGAACATGTATGTTTCCAAACAAGGGTTATCGATAAATCAACGTTTGATGATATAACTGAACGCAAACTAACTACAGTATGATAAAACCTGTATGAGAATTTAACATGCTGCGTATAATACTTGTCAAAATTACACATGGATATTTAATGTTCATATGGTAAGACTTTTCTAACACCTTCTTGTCTTTCCTTTTGTTAGATATTACATATTTACAAAGTTAGCATATCATTGGGCTAAATTAAATTAAAAAAACTTTTTTCTTCTTAAAATTTTCTTAAATGGATTTGATAAATGAAGCAACTTTTCTAACTAAACAACATTAAGGTTGAAGTTGAGTTAATCAAGATCAGATGGATTATTTTCAGTCAAAGGAACTCCACTGAGGTTTTTGACAATGACTTTTTCGAGATTTATATTTGATTTGTTATATATCTAAACCAGATACATGTGTGCAAAATTTCAGATCATTTGTTCAGACAGTTTTTCCAGAATGATTATTAATTGTGAAAAATAAGTCAAAATTGAATTGAAAAGCGTTGCAACGCTTTGTACTTTGATCGGGCTAAGAATAGCACAGAAATACGTTTTTCAATTTATTCCTGAGAAAATTTCTTTCTAATCTTTTGCATATATTTTTGTTTTAAGTGTCTCAGCTGATCTATGTAAGAAATTAAAATTTCATGTTATGGGGCTTGTAGACCTCAGAGTAGTTCCTTTTAAAAACTTATTACCTAATGAAATTTTTATTTGTATGATATTAAGAAAGATATAGATTATTTAAAACAAATATGTTTTAATTCAGATGCTCTTATATAATTATGACAAGCAATTGTCTATATGTTTTATAGTTCATATACACTATTTATTACTCTTTGTTTTCAGATATATACAAAACTTACATACAGTGTTATCATAATACGTTATTACTGTCATTCTTTTGTTGCGCCGAACAAAAAATATGGCTGACAGTAATTTGTCCAGTTGTGAACCATGCAGATACAGAGGAATTACATCACCAGCTGCTAGGTTTTGTAAATCATGTCAGGAAAAACTATGTAAAGAATGTGTTGACTGTCATAAGTCATTTAAAATAACAAGAGACCATGTTTTGGTAGAAACCCCAGATCAGCAGTCAACAAAATTGTCTCAGGATATTGAAGATCTAAAGATGTGTAAAGATCATGCTAATAAGCCAACGGAATTTTATTGCTTGACCCACGAGTCCATGCTATGCAGCCTTTGCCTTCTAAGATCGGAGCTGCACAAGAAATGTATGAATCGTATTGTTGAACTGGAGAGTATGGGCGAATCATTTGCCGACAGTAAGTTGATTGATGTAGCACAATGCGAATTTCGAAGTTTGATTGATCGTGCTCATCGCTTTGTTACCGAGATTAAAGAAGAAAAGCGAGCCACAAATGAAAACTTTGATGCGGTTAAAAGTGAAGGTGCTGCTCTTAGAATAAAATTTATGAAGGTATTTGACAAGCAAATTAAAAAGATTGTTGAAAAATCAACGAAAATAAAAGAAGAAACAAATAAGAGATATTCAGAGACAATTGAAAGTCTTGAAGATGTTATTTCAAAAGCAGAAACTAACGAAAGAGTAGCAAAGGCTCTCTTAGAATCAGGGACACCAGAAAACATTTTCCGATGTTTGATCGCTATCATTAAACAAATGGACGATTTTAAGTTAGTAGCAACAAATCTCTGTGAAGGTGACTACAGCAAGGACATAATTTTCATGGTCAAATCAGATTTGATGAAACAAATAGAGGCGGACGAAAAATGTTTCATTGATTTTCAAACCAAATCGTCAAAACTGGAAATATATTCTAAAATACCAGATCGATTACTGCAAGGTAGTTTAAAATCAACTTTTGTAAAGTTGCTCTGTACAAAAACTATGTCGGAACACAAGGTCACAAATGATGGATGTGACAAGGCCGTAAATAGTATACCAGATATTCTAGGTAGCGATGATGTTGAGTCAGAAATATGCTCCGTTAAAACTACAACGAAGGCTACAAAAGCCGACGAGAAAAAATCTATTTGCCAAGTTGAACTACCCGATGTATTTGATATTAAACTGAAGCATAATTTTACGTTAGATGTAACCATGCCAGATAACAAAACACTATGGTTCAATGGCATTGCATTTCTCCCGGATGGAAAGGTCATTTTGTCAGATTCAATTAACTCTAGGTTAATCTTTCTCAACCATGAGAACAAAGTTATTATGACAAAGAACTTAAAGTATGAACCAGGGCATATTTGTTTTGCAGGTTCAAATCGCCTTGCCATTTGTCTTATGAAGACCAACCAGATTCTGCTGGCTGATACAAGCAAAACACCGATAAGGAAAGAATGGTACTTGCAGACAAAGTACCATCCGAAATGTATACAATTTGTACATGATAAGATGTTAGTATCCTCACAAGATGCTTCTGGCGAATGGTATTTGAATCTTATGACAGTCGAGGGAGCAGTTTGTCGGTCCATCAAATATAAAAGACTACTGGATGGCTACATCCTTGCGATTCAATCAATACCGACTGAGACAAACAACTTTCGAATCATTCATTACTGTAAAGTGGCCAACAACTTGCAATGCTTTGGTTCGGACGGCTCCTTTGTCTTTGATTATGGTGTCGACAGTGTTGTGGCTGTTGTAACAGACCCAAATGGATATATCTATGTCATACGATATACAGGAGAAATTCAAATCTTAAGTCCAAATGGTCATTTTATTCTGAGGCTTTATACAGGTGAGTAGTGTCATTCGGATAGCGAGAGGGAGTTGGGGGCAAGGGCAGTTTCGGTTTAGGGATTATGACGTAATGTTAATCTTTTGAAGTGGTCTTCGAGTGTACTTGAGAGGTAGAATATCCTTTTGAAGTGGTCTGCCAATGTACTTGAAAGGTAGAATATCCTTTTGAAGTGGTTTTCAATGGCACTTGAAAGGCAAAGTGTCCTTTTAAAAGATGTTTAATTAAAAATAAAGATGGCGGATATTTGCATAATTAAAAATAAAAATGGCGGCTAGTTCCGTAGTGAAAAACAAAGATGGCGGATAGTTTACCTGGCAACCAATGGGGAGAGTGATGCATGAATGAGTGATTATAGGCAGTATGTGTGTGTATTGAAATGTTTTCTCAATAAACATTATTATTATTATTATAAACGGGTCAGTTTTTTACTGACCACCATTAAATTGGAAATGGCTACCGCCGACAGCGTGTCTATATCTTTGAGCAAGACTGGAGAAATTTCACCAGAACGGGAACCTTTTAAAATCTGTGAGGAAAGTGACCTTCAGGGCGGCCGGGCGGTCTCTAGCGACTGCGTGGTTTGCGGCAATAGGCTGCCTAAGAACCGCGTTACTTTCATCGCTCAAATAGTCGCCATATACGGAATAATAATCGTTTCTGCGGTCAATCTTTCGATCAATTCCGGGTCAAATCAAGAACTCTGGATTGCTCTACTCAGCTCGGCCGTCGGCTACGTGCTGCCGAGTCCCGGACTTAAGTACAGAAAGGCCAAAGCGACATTCGGACCAACCCTTAGGGATGAGGGACAGTAATGGCGGAACTGAAACCAAGTTCGAGTATCTCGAGCGAATCTACACGGATCCATCACATCCGGCGAGTTTCAGCGGACCCCGGCGGCTGAAGAGAGAGGTAGACCGAGAAGGCAGATTCAAAATAAGCAGAAAAGAAATTGTTTCATTCCTGGAGTCTCAGGACACGTACAGTACCAACAGACCGGTTCACATATTGCTCAGCAGCCGGTCTAAACATTCATTTATTCAACACTAATGATAAGTCAGCTTTACTTTTTTTTTTGATTCTGAAAAGAGATATTTTGACGCTTATTCTAACTGGATTGTACGAAAACGAGCATGTTATAATAGCCTTTATGAATCTTTTTAAATTGAATTAAAGATGGCGGTTAGCCATTCGAGTTATTTTTAAATAAGATAAAAAAAATGACGTCTTATTGGAGGGAGATTCCTTTGGGGTTTATCAAGTATGTATCGAAATATATCACGATACTCAAAATAGGCGGCAGAATGTCTGTTATTATAATAATAACAACGGTTATATAATCATTATGATTATGATGAAGATTATTATTACCATTATTATGAGATAAAGTAATTGCTGGAAGCCGTTGCTCGGGTAGTGGCTCAATGCTAATCATTTTTTGATGACGTGTTTACTCATTAGCGGAGAAAAAAAGCAATTAAAAATGACCTAGATTTCACTGAACACGACTTGTTCAGGCATTTTGCCAGAGTGTCGTGTCGACGCGTTACCATTGACGAGAGAGCAGAAAAACAGGATTGCCAGTCGATAGAGACCTCTTTTTCCTTTCATCAAATTATTTCTAAAAATAGTATACTACCGCGCAATTTTGATGTTAGAATACAATGCCGTGACAGTTACTGGAAAAACATAGTATTATTTCCCCTCACTAATTCTGTATTGTTAATGTGGCAGCTATTCTTACTTTTGATTCAAGTGTACCAAGTGAGTAAAAATATTGTGGTTGTTAACATAGTTAACAGTCTATTTTATCAGTAATAATCTGAAATTTTAAAAACTTATAGAAAGATTTGTCCCAATGAAGTATAAGTTCGGGGTAATAAAATAAATAACAACGCAGTTTGTGATTTAACATCGCTTTGGAAAACAATGTTAGCTAATTCTTCGGGTAAATAGTATTTTCTTCGGGATGATATATTTTACTGTTTACTCACAAACTGTGTTTTAATTTTATGATTTTGTACAGTGATGGGAATAGGTCACGACAAGGACGAACTTGTATGATGCAGGGAAAAAACAAAAAGTGATATGTTTGAATGAAAGAAGGGCATTTTTATAAAAATTTATTAACTGCCAGAAAGCATAAAGCATAAAGTGGTTAAACCTATTTATATTATTTGTTATGACTTGAAGAAACGAGGTCAGTATATATGTGGCATTTTAAAAAAAAATGTACGCGTACAATATTTTGTATATAATAATAATAATAATGATAATGTAAATTATTATAACTTTGTTACATTTTTATTTCACTTTATTTTTATTTTTGATTTTTGTACACGCATTTTCAATATGCCAGTTTCAAGAGAGATTAGATGTAATGTTATAACAGTGTCAACATTTGAACAGCTATCGTAACAGCTAACTAATATAGTGTGAAAGGTTCACTCTTTTATCTGTTTTTGTAATAAACATATCTTGTACTTGTATACATTGTGTATTTGTAAAAATGACAATTTATGTTTGTTTATGCTTACTCTATTTGTGTTTGTGTGTATGCGTGTGTTCTTTCTTATTTCAAGTGGAGTTGATCTTATTTCTAATGGAGTGTTTCTATTAAATCTGCATACCTTCGATGAAATTTACTGTACTAGTAAACAATCAGTTTATCAGTAAATAAGAAGAAGAACAAACAAACAAAACAATCAAATTTCTGATATTCTATCAATCTATCACCGCCATTACATTCTTAAATACAATAGTTGAGTGACGTAAAGAAAAGAAATGGCCAAATAAGAAAGTATGCGTATACACTTAGTAAACCCCGGCTAGAATTTAATTTAATTTGAAAATACTGACTGCTCGAACGCATGTAATAGCTACAAATGAAGAATTACTAGTATACATATTCTATGCTTGTATAAATGATGTAGTCCTGAAAATAATAAATAATAATGATAATGAATATCACTTCGTTTTCTCAACAAACTAAAGCATTATACACATTTTATACAAGTATAAATAATGTGATTTTAAAAAAGCAGAAAAAACATTAAAAATATGACTTCGTTTTCTTATCAAACTAAAGCGTTATACACGCTTTATACCAGTATAAGTATAAGTCCTAAAATAAAAAAGAATACTAAAATCATTAAAAATATCAGCCCGTTTTATCATATCAACAAAGTAAAATACTATACATATTCTGTACTAGAATAAATAAGGTAAAGGCGAGCGTCCATTTTTCGCCGGTGACGTAAATTATTTTACTAATTTGTAAGTAAGGAAACATAAAGAAAATGGACGCATTCAGTTCAGTCAGAAACGTTTACTTTGCAATTTGCAAATACATGTACATTCAGAGAATATAATAAAACCATTGTCACTCGAACATATGCAAACTGGAATCATAACACTGGGCCACTGTTTAACAGATATGTTGCTTTTATTAAAATGTTGATACACATTTATGTAGTTTTTAAAAAAGGGAAATTAAAACAGTTTCTTATAACAGAACATTATTCCGTCGACTTAAAACCGTTTTTGAATTATAATTTTAAATGTAGAACACTCAAGTTTGCCAATAATATAAACGGCATAAAACTACTAGAAAATAATCAGATTGAAATGTATCTTAACCGATAAAAAATTGAATTATAAGATGTCTTTCCGAAGCTTTGTAAAAATGAAACTGTAATACTGGTCTGTTCCCTGTCATAGTAGCTGCGTAGACAAGGTTATGATTAAGAAATAATACATTGTTTCAGCGGTGTTTATCGGCTATTTAACACAGGTTTGGAGTTTTGATGCGTAGAAATTGACCACGAAGGCAATAGGTTGTGAAAACTATCTTATAGAGGTAGAAGTAAAAAACAACAACTGAATCTAACGAGTCTCGAATCTAACTAGTGTATATTGGCAGTTAAACACCGGTTTCGTTGTGTATAGTGACACAACCACTAATGTATCGTTCAAACTGTGACCGTCTGGAACCATGACTGATGATATGATGTTAACGTGATGTATGTCTAGTTGTGAAAATGTTATTGTATCTAACAAGCTCACTTGTATCTCGGTTTTGAAATCTGCTAACTCACTTAAAAGATTGTCTTCTTATAAATATTCCCTCTTTTAAAATATCTAATTAAGGCAATAAGCCTGTGTACATATACATGTATACATGAACTCCAAAAGGACATGGTATTTTAACAGGCCATTTGTTTTGAAGATAGCTGATGTCTATCCGATAAATAGTAGCAGCTGAAGTTTATGTTTATATTCTACTTGCATATATGGACATGAATAATGCTAATTATTTCAATACGTTTATTTCTCACGTTGGTATCGATTACATAAATGTTCACACAAAAATGTGAACTGAAAACAGAATTCAATTTCAACAATTCAGTGAGAGTGTGTTGTCTGTGACTTCAAATTAATATGAAGAGAAAGCTAAAAATATAACAACAACCAGAACTCTGAATATTTCTCATGCTTAAAAGATATCGTCTTACTCGTATTCTTTATTTAGTTACCTTTGCATCGTCTTTATGAAGCATTGTATCATGCTTTAAATACTAGTATCTTGCTCAACCGTATATCTGACTGCTTGAAGTACATGTACAATCAATATGTAAATGCCGTTATGTACTGCAATGGAATTGTATCGTGTTGTGTTCTATTGTGTTATCGTTTCTAAAAACTAGTGTCTAGTAACAAATTTACCTCTGCACTCTTTTATCTTTATATTTTAACCAAAGCGCACGTATAAACAATTCATCTAAACGTTTAACGCCAGCGCAGTGAGCATGACGATAGTCTCAAACGAAAAAGACAACGGAACATGTTTGAGGATAGTTTGATTTAGTGTATTTCATGTACATTGTAGTTGATCTACACGCTCTTTAAGTTAAAAGGAGAAAATAGGAATCCCTACAGAAAACGGAAGTCAATAATACTTTATATAATTATACATAATCTGTAAAAGATGCCTTTATTAAAGATATTC